TGTATTTCTAATTGATTCAGTGTATTCGAAACTATAACTACATAGAATATTCGATTATTAGAAGATTGAAGATTTCTTCTGCATTTATTATGATGTATAACTAATAGTATTTTTCAGGAGAACAGAGCACGTTAGTTTTATTACTTACTTTTTAAATCCCCATCATCTTTGAAAAAGCCGGATTTCTTTATCTGTCTTCCAATGGAATTCTTTGCAATTTTGTTTCAAAAACATGGCAACAAATACTCCCCTCTTCATTTACCAAGTTATTTCCACTAATTGAATAAAATGAGAACTTAAATCATAAGAGATTTGATTTCCCTGAAACATGTGAAACACAAAGTATTTATTCCAAACTTACTTTTCCTTACGGTAGAAAATATAAGAGAAATTTATGAAACGAAACAGACCCAGCCAAAATTTCAAAGATATTTAAAAATAAAATTTACAAATTAGATTTTGATTAAGGTAAAAATTAACATAGATCAATGATACAGTGATTTTATTTTATATACAGAAAGAACACATGCAGTGATTTGCGACTGACCTGACTAAAGCAAAGATAAAGATCGCATGAAACAAACTTTATATTTTGTGTCTAAAAATCTGAAATAATACTTACATTTCCGTATGTGAATGTCTGGACATACATGTAGTTCTAAAAATCCGCATTCAAGAACACACATATCAAAGCTTTCTTTTTAAATAACATAAAATCTTCAACGTTCTGCTTCTGGAAATATCCGAGATTAAAATGTAAGGCGTGTTAAAAGGATGCAGATTTGACCATCCTGTCCTATCAGATATCACAATTACCATAGAAACTGGCCAGTCTCACGCTGTGAAAACCCTTGTCCTAATTGCGTGGTCAGAAAATGTTCTCTTATCTCAGAAAATGCCCCCTAAATGCAACACTTTAGGAAGTGTGTGTCTTGTTCGTCTTATATCTTTTTTATGCAAGTTAATTTTATTAACTTATTATTGTTTAACTTTAAGTTAAATTTATGTTATGTTTTTTTTCTCTAAAACATTTACTTTATAGAACTAGTAGTATTTAAATATGTGTAAAGTTTCACAAACTAAAAATATAACTTGATATACATCGTCATGCATGTTTTTTAGGTACTCATGGTATATAATTAAATGTATATAATTAATTATTTCTTTTTTCTTTCACTTTCCATCTTTTTGTCCCATTTTATAATAAACATTTCACATGTTTCCTGAATTATGAATTCACTCCAATGTTGGTTCAACGTTGTCTATACCAAAATTGCATCGAAAAAGGTCGTGACTCATCAATGTTGGCCCAATGTTGTACTCCCAACAAAATCTGTCAGCTTAGTGGTGACAAGCTAACAACAGTGGCCCAACGTTGGGCCAACGTTGTTTTCCCAACCAACCTTTGCCTCTGAGTAAAATATTGTAAAGTTGACATTGACCCAACATTGGGCCAACGTTGTATGTCCAACAAACTATAACAAAATAAGAGCGTGATTCACCAATGTTGGCCCAACGTTGGACCAATGTTGTACTCCCAACAAAATCTGTCAACTTAGTGGTGACTAGCTAACAACAGTGGCCCAACCTTGGGCCAATGTTGTGTCCCAATCAAACTCGGTCTTTGAGTAAAATAGTGTAATGTTGACATTGGCACGACATTGGGCCAACGTTGTGTCCCCAACCAAACTCGGCCTCTGAATAAAATAGTGTGATGTTGACATTGGCCCGACATTGGGCCAACGTTGTGTCCCCAACCAACCTCGGCCTCTGAATAAAATAGTGTGATGTTGACATTGGCCCAACATTGGGCCAACGTTGTAAACCCAACGCCAACCATCTGCCAACGGTCCAACCATTAGCCAACGTTGGGCCAACGTAGTCATGCTGTCTGGGAATGTATTAAATCATATAATTAGAGCCCCATCCTTGAACTAGAACCCCATACCGTATCCCTGACCCAGGAGCCTTGAAATTCACAATTCTGCAAGACGAACCAATACTTATAATAAATATATATATATGCAAAACATCTGCAAAATACTCAGGTACAGAGGAGAAGATTTTTAGAATTCATGCATTTTTACAAAATAATAAATAGAGCCCCGTCCTAACACCAGAATCCCTGACACCACGGAGCAAGATACACCTGTAATAAATTTTGATGAGGCACCTTCCTTGTTGTCTGACGTCACGGCGTCAGACAGTACTAGATTTAACCAGGGCTTATTTATGCAGTCGTTCCATGAAATAGTTTAGTTCGATGGTGGAAATTTCGAGAAATGCATCATCTAAAGATTCATGTAGTTCGTCCCAGGAGGAAATGAATTTTTATTTACATTACTGAATGATCTTGTCTTAAGTATAATCCATGCTTTCATCTTTGAACATGTCCGCTTCAGTTCTCCATAAAAATGCCTTATTATATAAATCTCACTGTATTGTGTTGTGTATCAAAGATTCGGGCAAATAATTGACTGCTTATTTTCAGTAAAATTATACCTTGACATTGAATTACTAGAGTAGTACCTAAATTGTACTACTACATCAGGCACGAGGTCAAATATTTTCTCTTCGTTGCCCTGCTCCAAGTATTGTAAAAACTGATAATACGGTGTCTAAGAAAAATGCACTGAAAACAGAAAAAATGTCTTATTCAAGTTTGCTTTTAATTCCTTATTGTGTAAATAGATTTGTATGATGCTGAAGTGATACACTTCAATCCTATCCAACGATTATATTTTGGACCATATTACATTGTAAATTAGTTTACATCTTCTTGTTTCTTTTCGAAGATGCTTCAGTTCAGAATTTCATCAATCAATTATGTAACAGTGTTTAGAAGAGAATCATTGTACATCAAATGGTTTGAGAAGCAATGAAAGCTTTCAAGAACAGCAGGGGAATGGTCAGCATGTGTAACGCTGTGCCAAGATTGTTATCGCCAGGGTTAGGGTTACGCGCCCATTTAGTGATCAAAGATCTCCCCATTGATTACAACATTTTTTATAACCTTCATTTTACTCAGTTTGTTGAATAAAAAATCGGTTAGGTCATCTAACATATTAAACATAACTTGTAAAATGCTGACCCGGGATCTTAACACAACATCTTAAGCCTAAGTCGATCAAAATCTTTATTTAATAATAATTTAATTTCACTTGTATCAAGCAATTTCATTGGCTGAATGATTCAGAGGAACATATAACATTTTGTATAACATAACTTGCCTACGTCACAATGAGTTACGTCAAAAACGTATTACTCCGCTCGACGTTACTTTTAAAATATTGCTCAATTTGAAGCCTTTTTCCGGGGGAAATATTGTCTCACTGTCTACACTAAAATTAAATTATAAGGAATGAAGCTAATTTCAACTTATGTTATCCGATATAACAAAACTTGGGGCAGTTTACGCTTTCTTATAAACCGCTTCGCGGTTTATAAAGCGTAAACTGCCCCAAGTTATGTTATATCGGATAACATAAGTTGAAATTAGCTTCATTCCTTAAATAAAATGTTGTAAAAGTCAAGCAGACCAGAAGGGTTAGAGCTAAGGATATTTTTAAAATTGTTTCACAGAGATGATTGTATGTGCCAGTGAAGAAATAAATTCCATTATTAATAAATATTTTATCGGCGATTAAAATTTCGCTGACGTCTTAGTGTGTTTCATGATCCTGGAGCCAGGAGCTTCAATTTTAAGTTCTTTGTACATTACTGTATACAATATTGATTACGCATGGTCTCTTAAATATATTATCGAACGAAAGAAATTATATATAATATATTATTTCTTTCCGCTTTATGAATTTAAGCAAACCACGTCAGACAAGCTTTTTAGGAAAGCTTATACTTGTCTTACATATGTATAATTATACTAGTTATTTTGTTTAATAGCGATATCCAGGCACAGAGAAGATTGTCAAAGGATTAATGCATTTTCACTATATAATAAATAGAGCCCCTCCCTAACAAATGAACCTCTGACCCAGGGGTTATGAAATTCACAATTCTAAAAGAGTTACCCTTCATTTTCATTACTATATATATTGTTTAATATCCAAGAGCAGGGAAGATTATAAAAGAATCAATATATTTTCACAATACAATAAATAGAGCCCCATAATAACACCAGAACCCCTGACCCCGGGGCCATGAAATTTCACAATTAAAGATGAAGCACCCTTCATCACCATAACTTTGTATGTAAGTTAGTTTATTTAAGTACGGCTCCGTGTAAAAATCATGCAGACAGTACAGAAAAGGTGATTCATCGACCATCTTCAAATTCAATAAATTGGGTTTAATATATTCATTTGGGTCTAAATTGAATATAAACAGTTAATTTTGTTATAATTCTTTTTTCATATAGCCAGGGATAAAGTACTTGAGGTGTAATTTTGTATAGATAGTGTGCAAATAATGCCTATTTCAGAAAAGAATATCTTTAAAACCCTAGAAGAAGTACAAAAACTTAATACATAATTCAAGTGAACATGGAAGGCTTAATAAAAATTTACTTTAATATTTTTGTGCAAACGAAGTATTGAAAAGATACAAGGTGTTTAAAATCGAGAATTTGTCAAGATTCTTCAAATGAGTTATCTCCCTTTGCAATTTTACATAGGTGGCGCTAGTAAAAATAAATGGCAGCCTCCATGGTTAGCTGTACGCTGCAAAGTTATTTTGATGCATCCTGTGATGTTTATTGCAAAAATATGTGTGAAGTGTCATAAATTGGTTGAAAGGATTCTACAAGAACAGATTAGGCATAGTTTTCGGGCAAAAGTATAGCAATGTGTTGTGTTGATTAGTATATTGACCTTGTTGACATGGTTGACGCTCTCCCGAAATGGTACTCGCCTACTGACACCGTTGTGATCTATCTCAGAAGTTTAAATTCTACGGTAATCCACCAGAGTCCAAGAGTAAACTCTCAGAGAAGGGTGGCAGTCCGATTTTGTCAGCTTACTCGACTTGGAGAATGCAGAGGGGAGATAATGTACATTTTACATTTGACCAGGTAAGAACAGGTCCAGAACACTGCAGAACAATTTCTTGATTAAGATAATTTTGTTGTAGCTTGAAATAGCTATGTAGCTTTAATATGTTGACGGTGCGACCGTTAGGGCGAGCGCATATACTTATCCATTTTCATTTAGATTGGACATGTAAATCCGCACGTGACATTCGGTGCGTATTAGATTCTGACGTCATATGACGTCGTTTGTATGTTGCTTTACGAAACCGAAGCCTGAACAAGGCTGATTTCAATCAGTTTATGAATATCTTTCTGCAATAAACAGATAAAATCATTAAATCAAGACAAGTTTATTTTTCGTTTAACTTTTGTTGTTATTCTCGCGAGAATGTTGCTTTAGAGTTTGTGTATGAAGCGATGCATTGTGGGTCTAAATTACTGCGGTAAAATATTCTTTAGAATGAATGTGCAGTAGTCTGAATTTTCTCTTTGCCCAGGCATTTTCATCAGAGCTCGCAGTTACGTGCATCGCTTTGCGACCCTTGCTGCACTCACTATTAATCTATTCAAAATAGCTTGGTAAAGCTTTTTATATGCAGTCAAAAGTATTTTACAAGTCCTAAATGACAATGTATTATGAGTCTTTAATAAAAAGGAAAAATCATAGATACTTGTAGTATTGCAGCTGTTGAATACTTTTAATTAAGCAAAAGACGAATTTCCATTTTCTTAAGAGCTCTGGTACACTACCGTTAATGGAAGGTAATTTTCAGCATGTTTTTGTCTCTACTCTAGCATTCTACAACTAATTGAATGAGTCCCCAAGCATGACAGTCTACTATTTGTTAATACAAATCAGAAGCGACATGCGGTTTTCAACGATTTACTGCATACTAAAAACTTTATTTACTTCATCACCAAAAACAATAGAGTTTCTATTTTACTTTATTCAGCCAAAATTGAAAGATTAGTTTCCAAAGACACTGCTCGATGCTCACATTTAAAATTGTAGTTTTAGATGATAAATGCAGTGAACCTTCAGATATCTGGATGCAATATATCCGAATGCTTCAGTATTCGGACGATTTTTCATTGGAACGAAAATTTTTAACATTATTTTGTCTTATTTAACTGGTAATTCAGGTATCCGGACACTTCATATCTGGAAATTTGACTAGGAATCAAAGCATCCGGAGAAATGTAGTTGCTTCCAATACGTACCGTACAAACCTTGTGACGTTTGTATGTCTTACTTTTGATATTTGATTGAGGGGTTAAATGATAATTGTGCACCTTGTGCTGCTGTCTAAAACAAGATGTGTTTGTGAAACACTGATGCCCCCATACGGCAACATAGCGACGGTTAAGCTTTCTCAAATGCAGATAAAATATGTTGGTACCAAAGTAAGGCCTTTTCACACGAAATGCGATATGTAAACACAAGGTTATGACCAAGGTTAACATTTTATGATATAGGATAAACTCTGGGTCAAGGTCAAAGGGTCAAGATTGTTGGGTTCTAAAGAAAGGCCTTGTCTCAAAGATTACGTATGGGAAGTATGAAAGCACTGGCCCTTACCGTTCAAAAGTTATGGCCAAGGTTAAAGTTTGTAAAAAGTAGGTCAAACTCTAAGGTCAAGGACAAAGAGTCAAGATTCTTGATATCCAATGAAAGGTATTGTCACAAGGATTACACATGTGAAATATGAAAGCTCTAGCCCCAACTGTCAAGGTTAAAGTTTGTAAAAAGTATGTCAAACACCAAGGTCAAGGCTCTTGATATCAAATGAAAGGTCTTGTCACAAGAATTAAATTTGTGAAGTATGAATGCCCTAGTCCTAACCCTTCAAAAATTATTGTCAATGTTGTATTTTTAAATTAGGTCAAACTCCAAGGTCAAGGTCAAAAGGGTCAAGGTTCTTGGTATCCAATGAAAGGTCTTTTTATCAGAATTATATATGTGAAGTATGAAAGCCCTAGTACTTATTGTTCAAAAGTTATAGCCAAGGTTAAAGTTTTTTGATAGGTACAGAAATCTCCCAAGGTCAAGGTCAAAGGGTCAAGGTTGTTGGTATCCAATGAAAGGACTTTCAACAAAGATTACACATGTGAAGTATAAATGTCTTGGTATCTACTGTTCAAAAGATATGGCCAAAGTAAAAGTTTAAAATTTTCATGTAAAAGTGGGTCAAACTCCAAGGTCAAGGTCAAAAGGTCAAATTTGGTGGTACCCAAAGAAAGGTCTTGTCACAAGGAATACGAAATAGGAAAGTCATAGCTCCACTAAATCAAAAGTTATGGGCAAGGTTAAAGTAAAGGACAAACAGACAAACAGAGAGACAGAGAGAGAGACAGACAGACAGACAGACAGACAGACACGACAAAAACTATATACCCCCGAAACTTCGTTTACGGGGGCATAACTATTGTAAAGAAAACTGATAGCCAATTTACATGCAAATTTAAGTTGATGTGTCATCACATAATCTTGTCGTCTAGACCTGTTTAAGTTACTGTGCACTCCCCTATGTGCGATGAGGCATGAATAAGTATGATGGTATGGTTAAGGCAGTGTTTGAAATAACTTTCTCAACTGCCTGAGATGCACAAATTTTGTCACAGGCAAACAGATTTGTAACAGATTACAGATTTGACACCCGACTGAAAATGAAAAACTTTTCAAAAACTTGACCTTGGTCATGACTTTTGAATGAAAAATAAAGGGCTTTTCTCATTGGGATCCAAAACCAAGGTGCACATGGATCTTAAAAAATATATAGAAAACTTGTAATGGTTTAAGTAACAATCTTTTAAAATCTTATCAAGAACATGAAGATGATGATATGGAAGCATTCTCTGGTGATGTAGTGTAAAGTTAAACCCCCTTTGGGTAGGATGGGGCCACAATGGGGATCAAAGTTTCACATTGCAATATATAGGGGAGAATCTTTCCTAGAAAGCAAAGCCATGATTAATATTGTACTGATATGGAAGTCATTGGAAGAAGCCTCAAGTAGTGTAGATTTTGTTTAAATTCAATAAATTGTACTACAGTTAAAACTGGAGACATATTGCAAATGATGAAAAATACACTAGTAGAAAAGATATTACACATACAGCAAAACTCGTTTACTATGAACACAGATATAGCAAATTCATGGTTATAGCGAAGTTATTTTAGATCCCCAGCTATATAAATTTAACAAATTCCTTATATGGATATAACGAGTAATTGTATAGCAAAGAAATTTCATAGGTCCCGGTGACTTTGTTATAACTTTGTTTTACTGTATTTCATAAATTAGTATTATTGTTTTTTAGATGAATTAAACTCCATTTTATTTTCACAGAATGTATGCGATGGGCTGCATCATGGTTTTGAAGGAAAAGGTTACACTATTTATTACAGACAGCAAGAAAACATCATTGAACACCACCAACTAATAAGACTCCAAAGGTGGGAGAATATCTGTCATGCAACTATTTTTAGATTTTTAATGAAATTACTGCATTATATAAACTTGATCTTCCATTTAAAGTAATTCATAAAATCAAAACAACCATTTAGTACCTTAATAATAATGTAGCATAAACTAAAGAATTCTAAATTGATGAATGATAAGTTCATGTACATGTATATTGTAATTATTATTTTAGGAATAATGGAAAATAAGATATTTAAAGCTGTCAAAAAGCAGAGTTTAGAGTTCAGTGGATTCCATGACAGTACTTTGGATAATGTTAATCAGGCAGCAATTCTTTTCCAAAGGATCTTAAGTGCTTTTAGAAGAGGCTAATAAACAAAGGACAGTCACTTACTACAGAAGAGAAGCAGGGGAGATTAATGATATTCTGAGTGGCATGACTGCACCTTACAAAGATGTAAAACTTTAAAAATTATGTTTACATATACAATGATTATATGATAAATGTATCTAGTAATCAATATTAATATGATTAATATTTTCAAATGTTTTTTTACATTTTACTGTTCATTAATGAAAAAAATAATTTGTGTTGTATTTGAATTTGGAAATGTAAAGGAATTTATAAATGTAAACTGATATTCTTACATGTAAACATGTACTGGCGTATGTACATGGTGTATTTATTGGACTCTGACAAAAATTGATGCTACTTCTTTTTTGGTGAAATTATTAATCACAATGATTTTTGTGCACATGATTTTTTAAAATTTTCTATAGGGTATGGTATCTATGAAAACTACTCAGCCTTTTTGTTTGGCTATTTTTTAAATCATAGATATATTTTATTTTCTTGATAACTGAAATCCTCAAAAAATGATATTTTGTTGTTTTTTGTCAACATGAATTATCTCCCCCTTTCAGCTTGAAATTAGGCCAAAATAAAAAATATTCTTGTTTCCTGTCACCCGACCTACCCTACATTTTACCCTCCGACCCTAAAAGTTTTTATTACATTTTCATTTTTGGGGTAACTATTTTCCTAAAATACTGAAGTCGACCAACAATACTTACAGAATTAATACATCACAAAGTGTACAGGATACCTTTACTTTATAAATCTTGATTAACAAACTTGCTTTGTAAACTGTTAACATATAATTTTCTTGTTATTACATGCTATATGTTCTGCATTTATTGAGTTTTGAAAATAAAATTTTTTCTCAAAATAAAATTTTTTCCCTACCTACCGACCCTAATCTTTTTGGTCAGGGGACAGGAAACAAGAGTATATTTTCTTTTGGCCTTAGAAATAATACTGTAGATATAGATATAATTTGATTATTGAAAATAAATAATTGTGTTGTTTTTGGATTTGGAACTATAAAGAAATTGTTCTGAAATGCTATTTATAATTTAACATGCATATTAAATATATACTTGACATTTATTTGACCGTGATGAAAAAGTGAATTTCCCATTTTTTGTATAAAACTCTTCAATGGCTTTTGGAAATTAATAATCAATTGCACAAAAATGTTTTTAATATTTTATTTTCCATAAGGTATGGTGTTTAGGAAATAAACACTGCCTTTCTGTTTGGCTGTAGTGTATTTTTTCCTTTAAATTTTTTATCATATAGCTGAATTTAGTTTGTAAATCCTTTTAAAATTGAAAATTTCAGTTTTTCTCGATATGGATTATCTCCCCTTTTCAGCTTAAAATTAAAAACTAATACTGGACGTGGTAATATTTGGATTAATTATGAAAAGTAAATAATTTAATTGTATTTGAAAATGGGAATATAAAAAAATGGTTTTGAAATGCTATTTATTTTTTACATGCAAACATATATGGCATATATTGGACTGTGACAAAAAAAGAGAAATTACCATTTTTGTACAAAATTCATCAGTTGTTTTGGGAAATTAATAATCATTTGCACAAAAATGTTTTAATAATTTTATTGACTTTAGACTATAGTCTCTATGAAACTAGCATGGCTTTTTAGTTTGGCTGTGGGGTTTTTAGAAATTTTTGATAGATAAAAATCCTAAACAAGAGGCCCACGGGCCTTATAGGTCACCTGAGCATTATGCAACAACTTTCCAGTTATTGAATTTGATTCATATGTTTTAAGCCAGATGCTATATGACATTCACAATTTTGAAAGAGGCACCATTGATCATTATAACAATACACTTAGCAGTTGCTTAGCTCGGTTACTGAATACCCATACACAGGGTAGGGGAACAAAAATGCATTCCAACTAATCAGTAGTGCCCCTAACACTGTGACATAAACCCCTGACCCTAGGTCCACATATTGCACAAATTTTGAAAAGGCACCCTTAATATAAAAAAAAATAAATGTTTTATAAATACAAAAGAGCAGATTTCAAACAATAAATTCATTTTCAGTATATAAGTAGAGCCCCCACCCCACCCCTGACCCTTGGGCCTTGAAATTCACAAGTCTGCAAGATTAGGGCCCTTGCTCATCATAATTATAAAGGTAGTTCATCTGCTTCATAACCAGAGACAGAGAATAACATTTTCAAGATTCAATGTATTTTCACTGTATAATCAATAGAGCCCCGCCCCCCTAACACCAGAACCCCTGGCCCCTGGGGCCATAAAATTCATAATTTTAAAAGAGGCATTCTTGCTCATCATAACTATGTACTTTGTTTATTTAATTCCTAGGAGCAGTGAAGAAGATTTTCAAAGAATTCATGTATTTTCAATATATAATCAACAGAGCCCCCCCCCTCCCCAACACCAGAACCCTTGACCCTGGGGCCATAAAATTCACAATTTTGGTAGAGGCACTCTTGCTCATCATAACTATGCACTTAGTTAGTTTATTTATAACCTACTAGCAGAGAAGAAGATTTTCAAAGACATGTATTTTTACTATATAATCTATAGAGCCCCGCCCTAACACCAGAACCCTGGACCCTGGGGCCATAAAATTCACAATTTTGGTTGAGGCACTCTTGCACATCATAACTATGCACTTAGTTAGTTTACTAAATACCTAGGAGCAGAGAAGAAGATTTTCAAAGAATTCATGTATTTTCACTATATAATCAATATAGCCCCCCCCCCCTCCCCAACACCAGAACCCTTGACCCTGGGGCCATAAAATTCACAATTTTGGTTGAGACACTCTTGCTCATCATAACTATGCACTTAGTTAGTTTATTCAATACCTAGGAGCAGAGTAGAAGATTTTCAAAGACTTCATGTATTTTCACTATATAATCAACAGAGCCCCCCCCCCCCCAACACCAGAACCCTTGACAATAGGGCCATTAAATTCACAATTTTGGTTGAGGCACTCTTGCTCATCATAACTATGCACTTAGTAAGTTTATTCAGTACCTAGGAGCAGAGTAGAAGATTTTCAAAGAATTCATGTATTTTCACTATATAATCTAGACCCCCCCCCCAACACCAGAACCCTTGACCCTGGGGCCATAAAATTCACAATTTTGGTAGAGGCACTCTTGCTCATCATAACTATGCACTTAGTTAGTTTATGCAATACCTAGGAGCAGAGTAGAAGATTTTCAAAGAATTCATGTATTTTCACTATATATAATAAATAGAGCCCCGCCCTCACACCAGAACCCCTGACCCTGGGGCCATAAAATTCACAATTTTGGTAGAGGCACTCTTGTTCATCATAACTATGTACTTAGTTCATTTATTTAATACCCAGGAGTAGAGAAGAAGATTTTCAAAGAAATAATGCATTTTCACTATATACTTATTTAGCCCCGCCCTAGCACTAGAACCCCTGACCCCAGGGCCATGAATTTCACAATTTTGGTAGAGGACTCAATGCTGATTACAATCATGCAAACAGTTTGACTGCTTGATGTCCATGAGTAAAGAAGAAGATGTTTAAAGATTGCATTAATTTTAGTGGTTTTGGCCCCACCCCTCAGGTCCCAGGGGGGCAGGGATCATGAAATTCACAATATTTGTTCCCCTTCACCAATAGATGCTTTGTGCCAAATTTGGTTCAAATTGGTTCAGTGGTTGCAGAGAAGAAGCTGAAAATGTTCAAATGTTAACACACGACGAACGACGGACGACGACGGGCGAAAACGGATAGCAATAGGTCACCTGAGTTTACTCAGGTGACCTAAAAATGGATATTTTACATTTTTGGCCAATATGGATTATCTCCCCTTTTTAGCTTAAAATTAGAACACATTACTGGTCATAAAAATATTTTGACTAGATATGGATAGTAACTACTTATGCTGTGTATTAATAAGAAATAAACATAAATTTGTTTTATTGTTTAGTTTTCTTTTCATTTAATCTTCATTATTGGTATTTTTGCCTGTTTTTAGAGGAAATTTCAGCCATTTTTTGCCCAAAACAGTTTATCGGTTGCCATGGATACCAATGGCAGAATTAAAAAAATATATATAATTTTTTTATGGAGTATCTTAGCATACTCTACCAACATGCAAAGTTTGAAGAAATTCTGAAACCCCCCATGAATCACCCTCTGCATGATTTTTACACGGAGCCGTACTTAATACCTAGGAGCAGATGATACGTTTCTCAAAGAGTTAATGCACATTCACTATTATTATTATCAATACACCCCCACTCTAACACCAGAACCTCTGACCCTGAGGTAATGAAAGTTTCAATTTCTTCAGAAGAGGTACCATTCTCCATTTTTAATACAATGTATGTATGTAGTAAGTTTGTTTAATACTCGGAAGCAGAGCAGGAAAAGATTTTCAGAAAATTAATTAATGCATTTTCACTAAATAATCAAAAGAGCCCCACCATTTCACCAAAACCCCTGACCTTGGTCATGGGGCAATGAAATTCACAATTTTAGAAGAAGAACTTTTCCTCATCATTACTATACATTAGATTTTTTTCCGCCGAAACGTGGCTGAAAAATTGTTGACTCGATGTCAAACAATATTCAATCAATCAATCATTAGATATTTCTATTTGATACCAGGGATGGGGTAGATTACTATCAAAAGTACTCGATTAAATTACAATTACTTTGAATTTTTAAAGTGATCGATTACAAGCTGATTACAGACATTTTTTTAAGTAATCAATTACATCTGATTACTTTTCCTTCATATAATCATTTTTACTTATGATTCCTTTAGATTATGATTACTTTAGATAGATTATATTAAGTTTTATTTTTTTGTTTAATGTTCAAGGACAACGGCATGGGTTTTATCTTCTTTCTTTAAATATAACAGTATTTTTAAAGTAAAATTCAGACAAAGTTTGGTTGTACATGTCTTTATATAGATGAATGAGATTTGTCTTATGTCATCCGATTTTTATCTTGAATAAAAGTAAATATCTTATGTTATGGTTGAAAGATATAGAAAAAAAGAATTAGTTATTATTATCTATAAATCAAACTGGACATAATTATAATTAGGGTTATAAGGATTCGATAGATAAG